TAAGCTTCAGAAATGTGCATTCTAGACAGCAGTTTAAATGCAGAGTTGCAAAATCAGCCTGGGAGAAAAGCGGAGCTTGAGGAACTGCTGAACTCAGCTCCCTCAATCTGCAAAGGTTCAGCCAATGGATTACTTATCATAGGAACTGTGGATAAGAACAGAGCCCAAAGGTGACACATCTTCATCTTGTGAGATACCAGAAGACACATATTTCCTTCCGCAGGAGACCGAATTCCCTTGCCCACTGTGGGATTCACAGAACAGGAGAGTCCCAGAGCCTTCCCATCCTAAGAGGTGGTCTTATCCTTATTTATTTAGCGTGTGATCAGAACACGACAGAAGAGAAGTAATATGCATATACACAACCCGTGTAATTATACACAAAACGTCTATGCAGGTACAGCCAGGGCCTCACAACTGGATGTCCAATTCAGCTATCCAGATGATCTCCTCTGGTGTGGCTTCGTGCAGATCTTCTAGGTAGCCAGAAAACACTCGTCGTGGGCAGTCTCGCACAATACGAGGTGGGCTGCACAAGAGGGGCGTTACAGACACGTGTCAATATGGAAAGTTCATTTGGTAGTAAGGTTCCTATCTAGATCGATTCTTATGGGAGCTATTAATTGGCGATTTACTTAAGTCAACCAGCTCTTCTTCCTTTTGCCCCTCTGTTCTTTGTTGTCACGAAGAAAAATGGCGGTTCTACTTGTTTTCATTTCTGTTTTGTTTTCGGAAAGAAATCCATTTAGCCAGGGGTGTCAAACTGGATTTCTTTTGAGGGCTGGATCAGCATTGTACTTCTCCTCCATGGGCCAGCTGGGGGGGAGGGAGAGGGGATGGATGCCTCCTGCAGCACACTGGAGCACAGGGAGTTTGGGCACCAGGGGGGGAGGCAGATTGTTGCAGGAGGCCATCCAGGCTGGAAACAGGGTGCAGGGGTTTTGGCTGCCAGATGCACCTCAGGCCGGTCCTTTGCTATTTCCAGGCCGGCCCTGTGGGCCAGATTTAATCACCCTGTGGGCCAGATCCAGCCTGTGGGCCTTGAGTTTGACACCCCTACAATAAGCAAATAACCCCAGGTAGGGAGCTCCCTGAGATCTCAAAGAGAGGCAGAAGACAGTTCCAGGTTTTGGAGTCAGTCTCTGCAGAGCTGAGCTCGATTGGGCTCGTCTGGAAAGGGGAGACCCCCTTCCTACCTGAGTTTAGAGGTTCTGTTGGACCTTCTGCCCCTGAAGATCGAGCTGAAACTTGTGGTGAGTCATCATGTTGACTGGGGTGAACTAAAACTACAAGTGTTCCTCGACTTAACAACAGTTCTTTTAGTGACCGTACAACGGCACTGAAAAAAGTGACTTAGGATCGTTTTTCACACTTAGGACCTTTGTAGCATCCCCATGGTCACGGGATCAAAATTCAGGCGCTTAGCAACTGGCTCATACTTATGATCGTTGCTGTGCCCCATGGTCATGTGATCCCAGGGGTGAAATGCTACCGGTTCGCTCTGGTTCAGGCGAACCGGGAGTGATAAAACCTTTTTTTTTTTTTTAGTAAATAAAAAGCTACCAGTTCATCCAAACTGATATTTCCGATGATCAGCTGTGCAGCGCGGTTTAGCTTTGCTGAAAAGCAGGAAATCCTGCTTTCTAGGAAAGCTAAATTGCCCGCCACAGCTGATCTCCTCCCTCGCTTCTACTTACCTTCCCAAGCCTCCTTTTGGCATGTATTGCACATGCACATGTGCATGCACATAGAACATGCATTTGACATGCCCCGTGCATGCACGGCCAGCGAACCGGTAGCAAACCGGTTTGGATTTCACCACTGCATGATCCCGTTTTTGCGACCTTCCGACAAGCAAGGTCAAGGCAGAAGTCAGATTCACTTAACAACCGGGTTACTAACTCACCAACTGCAGTGATTCACTTAACAATGGTGGCAGGAAAGGTCGTAAAATGGGGGCAAAACTCACTTAACAATTGTCTCACTCAAGGAAGCTTCTGGGATGAGAAGTGAAACGTCTTCAAAGAAAAACCAGAAAGTCGAATTGCCTCTTGAAACAAAAAAAAACACCTTTGAGACAACCATGATCTGGATGACAGAGAATGTCCGTAGATGTCTCACTCAACAACAGAAATGTTGGGCTCAACTGTGGTCGTACGTCAAGGACTACCCGTACACGAGATCGAATTCAGTTTTGGCGTTGACCTCACCTGTCCGGTGAAATGGGGTTGCCTGGTTCCTATTCAAATTTCGCTGTAACCTCCCCCCCCACAAAGCTACAGTAAGTGTCGGGGAAGACACAGAACTAGACGAGGAAGGGGAAAATGTCAATGAGAGCTCTCCCAGTCTAAAAATACACATCTCTGGACAAGAACATTTGGTTCCTGCCTGGTCATATTTGCACAGTCTGCTTGTAGGAATGGTTTGTCTCAAGGTTGCCTTATTGGAAGAGATAAGAAGGGGGAAGCATCTTACAAACAAACTGATGCGCTGGGCACACAACGTGTTTGCTTTAACTGTCTATTGCAGAGTCTCTGTCAGCCGACGTCAGCTGATCTCCCACCTCCAGGCTGAAGCAAGTTGGTCTCTTGCCATTTATTCTAATCAGCACTCAACTCAAACAGCCAAGTTCAACCTAGTTTGTGTTGTTTAATCGTTCTGGCTAACTCAGCCATCGGGCTTTAATTAAAAACATTAAGATACAAAAAAGAACTCCACGATGGCTCTTAAATGCACTGAGTTTTAAGGGGAGTGATTTGACAATCAGAATCAGAATCAGAATCCGAATCCGAATAGAATAGAATAGAATAGAATAGAATAGAATAGAATAGAATAGAATAGAATAGAATAGAATAGAAATAGAAATAGAAATAGAATAGAATAGAATAGAATAGAATAGAATAGAATAGAATAGAATAGAATAATGAATAGAATAGAATAATGAATTGAATTGAATTGAATAGAACAGAATAGAATACTTTTGAGATCTTCTAGTCCAACCCCTTGCTCAGGCAGGAAACACTATACTCATGATGGCAAACCTATGGCACGTGTGTGTGCCATATCGGTGGGCACGTGAGCTGATGTGCACGCCAGTCAGCTGATTTTCGGGCCTTCTGGGCAAACAGGACTGGTGTCAAACCCAGGTCGGCCCTGAATGGTTCCTATACCTAATAGAGATTTCAATCACAGGATTTTGGGGTGGGGGGAAATGGAGAATTTTACTCTTTTCCTGCAACTGTTAGGACATTCTCTCCAAGGGCAACCGATTTCTCAACTTTTGGCTGAAACAGGAAAACAAACAGAACAGCCACCGCGAGAGCCAAGTTGCGTTCAAAAAGCAGGTTTTAAAAGGGACGACTAAAGAAATGTTCAAGAAATTCTAAAATACCCCAAAAGCGAGAAGAGGAAAACAGAAAAACTCTTCCATCCCTCCTGGGACTCCTGACAGTTGGGAGGGCTATTTTTAAAACATAGCATTCAATTCAAAAACACAGAATCACAATGCAGACTGGTCTTTTTTGAGTGTAATGCTAAAGGAGAAGATAAGTCCCTAAGGCATAGCTTGCAAAGATGCCCTTACGCAGCAGAAGGAAAAATTGTTAGATCAGCAGGAAAGAGGTAAAAAACAAAACAAGACTAAGCATTGTTCCAGTTTTGGTCACCATATTATTATAAAAAAGATGTGGAGACTCTAGAAAGAGTGCAGAGAAGAGCAACAAAGATGATTAGGGGACTGGAGGCTAAAACATACAATGAACGGTTGCAGGAACTGGGCATGGCTAGTCTATTGAAGAAAAGGACTAGGGGTGATATGATCAGTGGTGGGATTCAGCGAGTTTGCACCACTTCAAGAGAACCAGTTGTTAACTTTCTGAGCAGTTTGGTGAACTGGTTGTTAGAAGAAATAATTAGGGCAGACAACCGGTTGTTAAATTATTTCAATCCCACCACTGGATATGATAGCAGTCTTATATATGAGGAGGGGCTGCCACAAAGAAGAGGGAGTCAAACTAATTCTCCAAAGCACCAGAAGGCAGAACAAAAAGCAATGGATGGGAAATAATCAAAGGGAGAAGCAACCTAGAACTAAGGAGGAATTTCCTAACAGTGAGAACAATCGATCAGTGGCACAACTTGCCTCCAGAAGTTGTGAATGCTCCAACACTGGAAGTTTTTAAGAAGAGATTGGATAACCATTTGTCTGAAATGGTATAGGGCAGTGATGGCTAACCTTTTCTGTACTGAGTGCCCAAAGCGCAAATGTGCACCCGAACTCCCAAAATGCAATGTACGCATGGTCCCCCCGTGCATGTAGCCACGGCCCACTGCATGCAGCCTACCCCCCACCCCCCACACACGCGGCAGAGACCCGAACACCAGCTGGCCGATGGGAGGCATGTGCGCATGATCAGCGGAGCTAAACTGGGGTGACGGTTCATGTGCCCACAGAGAGGGCGCTGCGTGCCATAGGTTCACCATCACGGGTATAGGGTTTCTTGCCTGAGCAGGGGGTTGGACTAGAAAACCTCCAAGGCCCCTTCCAGCTTTTGTTATTCTGCATTCTGTACTGATTCTTTTTTGCAAGCAAGGTGAACGATTCTTTAAAACCATCTGGACAGAATTTATGAGATGTGCATTTTATTTTATTTTATTTTTTCAATGCGCATCGTCGCTTCTGCAATGCTGCAGCCGTATCCATTTCTAACGGAGTTCAGGACAAGCTCCAGGCATAATAATAATCGTATCAAAAGAATTGTTCCCTTGGCAACCACTTAGCCGGAGGAGACCCTCAGAAGCGAGGGAAATCCTGGCCAAGAACATGCTTCCTCTGTAACCATATGCCTCACGTTACAAGGAAGTCTCCTGCTATTGGAAAGCTTTTCATGGAGTTTGAAGAATAAAGCCACCTGTTAATAATGCAATTTTAAGGGAAACGGTTTATGCCTCTCTATTTTTTATTTTTTTTGCTGAGCAATGCATTTCATAACTCTTTGAACAGGGTCCAATGCTGGAGGAGAATGGCATTTGTCAGGCTGCTGAAACAGGCAAAGAAGCATGTTCTTCATTTAAGCTTCAAGCAACCACCGGCACTTATGCCCCATATAACGGTTGAAATTGCACAATTCCTGGGATTTTTCAGACCTGTGAGTTTCCAGCTGTGTTTGTTAGCCTGTGGTCCAAATTCGTACGTTGAAAGCCCAGCTCCCAAGCATATTCCCATTCTCAATTCAGGATAGCCTGGATATAGTTCCTTCTGACAACACAGATACTTTTCATCCATCAGTGAATGGGAAATGGGGCTGCTGCCATCTGTTGGGCATTAGAGGAATGATAAAACTTCAATTAAAAAAACAAGGCCAAATAAATTTAGTACATCAAGCTTTAATCTGCTTAATTCCATTATTTGTACTTATGTAGATTTGGCTAGGAAAACTTGATCTATTGTAATGACTTTGTCTGCTTCTTGTCCATTTTCTTTCTTTCTTTCTTTCTTTCTTTCTTTCTTTCTTTCTTTCTTTCTTTCTTTTCTTTTCTTTCTTTGTCTTTCTGTCTTTCTGTCTTTTTTTCTTGCTTGCTTGCTTTCAAATATTTGGAAGTGGCTCTCCAGTTGGATTGCATATCCATTTTCCTCAAAATATATCTTTTTAAAAAGAAAAAAGTCCACCAGTATATTTTCAGGCAAGCCCTCTGCAAAAGCAAGGCTGACAATTTGCCCAAGCCATGTTCAAAATGATCTTGATCATCCCTTCTGACTCCATGTGAAGTGTCTAAAACTAGTGGATAAAAGGCCCTCAAATGATTATTCCCTGGACAGACACCGGACAAAGGCTCTTCAAATAATTGTTTTCTGCACATACACTTTTGATAATGTGCAGAAAACAATTATTTGAAGAGCCTTTGTCCGGTACCAACACATAGTGGGGATTTCCAAGAAAGACAAAAATCAAAAAATATTTCACCAAACTTGTGAAATATTGTGCAATCCTTCTGGATCACTTCAACAAGTGGGATGTTCATATATTTGATTCTGATTCTGGAGGCTCACCAAGTTTCTGTTCTTTTGTAATATTGGAAGGATTAAGAGATTTCCACGTTTTGCGGGAATGACGCACACTTTTTTTTCTTGTTTTAATGGCTTGTTCAGCTGAAATTGCCAACTAATAGGAGAGACCTATTAGGCCTTGTGGAGTACTATTCTTTACTTTCCATAGGAAAGGTTTGGCCAAAGATGAGAACAGACAAGGAGAAAGAAAAAAGAAAAGAAAAGAAAAGAAAAGAAAAGAAAGAAGGAAGGAAGGAAGGAAGGAAGGAAGGAAGGAAGGAAGGAAGGAAAAAGAAAGAAAGAAGAAACAGAGAGAAAAAGAGAAAGAAGAAAAAGAAGAAAAAGAAGAAAGAAAGAAAGAAAGAAAGAAAGAAAGAAAGAAAGAAAGAAAGAAAGAAAAGAGAAACAGAGAGGAACAAAAAGACAAAGAATAAAAAGAAAGAAAGAAGAGAGAGAGAGAGAAACAAAGAAGAAAAAGGAAGAAAAAAGAAAGGAAGGAAGGAAGGAAGGAAGGAAGGAAGGAAGGAAGGAAGGAAGGAAGGAAGGTTCAATTTTGAATCAAATTGATTCCAGCACATGGCTGGCCTATGCCCTTCTATTGAATAGGTTGTAAAAAAAATGCTTTTAAAAGTTAAAAAAAGGCTCTGACGATCAAGCAGCTCAGCTGTGATCGTCAGAGCCTCTTTTTTTTACTTTTAAAAGCAAAAAAGCAAAACCTGCGCATGCACAGAGGGTACAGAACACATTTTAACCAGGAAGTAATGACCAGGAAGTAACAACAACCGGGCGGGTGGGCGGAGCCTCGTGCCGCGATCGCTACCAGTTCTCCAAACCACCCGCCACGATCGCTACCGGATCAGGCAATCTGGTCCAAACCAGGAGGATTTCATCCCTGCCAGAAACACATCTATTTCTAACTAACACCCAGAGCCCTTTTGAATTGGGTGGTCTTCCACATCCAATCAATTGAAATAGATTAATTTTGATGCCGCCAAGATGATGGAACAGCCACCATGCAGGCTCAAAGCAAGCTGTACCTTCCTATGCTTGCATCACAAAATTGCCTGCAATCTTTTAGGGCAGGGGTCAGCAACCTGCGGCTCCGGAGCCACATGCAGTCCTTTGGGCCCTCTGCTGTGGCTCCCTGTCGGGTGATCCCACCACTGTCTGGCCACACCCCTCACCCTCCCCTCTCAATCACTCCTCGCCTGGCCTGAGAAGGTAAGGGTGATGGCACGGGATGGAGAAGCGGACAGGGCAGAGACAGAGACAGATACAGAGAGAGGGGGAGAGAGAGAGAGAGAAAGAGACAGATACAGAGAGAGGGGGAGACAGAGAGACAGAGACAGATACAGAGAGAGGGGGGGAGGAAGGAAGGGGAGAGAGAGAGATGTCAAAAGGTTTTTGTGGTTCCCAGTGTTTTTTAACAACCGGTTCTCTGTCCTAATGACTGGCTGGGTAGGCGTGGCCGGGGGGGTCATGTGACTGGTAGAAGTGAGTGATGTCGAGTTGGCCACACCCACCCAGGTTTTGTGGCTCCCGGTGATTTCTTTTCTGTGGGAAACGGGTCCAAATGGCTCTTTGAGTGCTTAAGGTTGCAGACCCTGTCTTAGAGGGTGGAGTTTGCCCCACAATGGATTTTTATGCACCCTTCTTTTCCCTCCGATGTATACCCACCTGGGCCAAGGAGTTTTTGAAAGATGTGTCTCCCTTTGAGGTGGCAGTTTTATTCAGCCCAGCTCTTTTCATGTTCTTTGAACGTCTCCAGATGTTCTTAGATGGAGTTCTACTGACACGCGAAATCGTCTTCCTGCCAGACCAAAACAAAACATTTCAGCTCCGTTAGGGATGACTTGGCTCGGATGATCGGACCACACTCTGTTGATTTGTTCACAGCTGTGTGCGTGGGGTTTTTGTATTTTTTTTTTTAAAAAACGTATTTATTATCTGAATCTGCCAATGGTCTCCTTCTTATCAAGTCCAAACTTGGGTCACTTCCTTAAAGCACCTGATGTTCTCAGACCGTTTGCTAGGTCTTCTTGGACTTCATGGTTGGTTTGCAAACTCCAAAGAGTCGGGGAATGCGCTTCCTTTTCCAAACTTAACAAAATGTGGAATATCGGCCCTTGAACAGCTGCATGAATTGTTTGACTTTCAGAAAACTTTTGGGATCTTTTTTTTTTCCCCTGTGATCGATGCCATTGAAAACATGGAAGTTTTGCTGGAGGAAAGGATGGCTCGGAATAATAATAATAATAATAATAATAATAATAATAATAATAATAATAATAATAATAATAATGATCAAGGACTCCTACAAGTAAAGCAGACTGTGGAAGAAGAAAAACGCAGCTTGAATGATTACATCCAGAAAACTGAAGAACCAATGATTAAGGAAGTAAATAAAAGAGGCCTTTTAAAGACAACTAAAACAAAAGCAGAATATAAGAAAGAAGTAATTGAGCAGCGAGCTGAAAATTGGAAAAGCAAAATTCTGCATTGCCAATACTTGAAAAGTATTGAAGGCAAAGCTGACCAGAAACTAACTTGGAACTGGTTAAGATCAGGAGTACTGAAAAAAGAAACAGAAAGCTTTATTTTGGCAGCTCAAGAACAAGCCCTAGCCACAAACTGCATGAAGACAAAAATTCAACATGTTACCACCAACAGCAAATGCCGCCTATGCAATGAGAAAGATGAGACAGTCGACCACCTGATCAGTGGGTGCAGCAAAATTTCACAAACTGACTACCTACAACGCCATGACCGTGTTGCTAAGATCATTCACTGGAAATTGTGCCAGAAGTTTGGATTTGAGTACAGCAAAAACCACTGGGAACATCAGATTGAGAAAGTTTTAGAGAATGAGAAACTCAAGATCTTGTGGGACTTTAGGATTCAGACTGACAGGCACTTGGTCCACAACACACCTGACATAACAATAGTTGAAAAGAAAAAAGTATGGTTCATTGACATTGCAGTACCTGGTGATGCACGAATTGAAGATAAGCAGCAAGAAAAAATCACAAAGTACCGGGACTTGCAAATTGAAGTTGAGCGACTGTAGAAAAAGAAATCGTGTGTTGTCCCGATTGTAATTGGAGCCCTTGAAGCAATACCCAAAGGGCTACCCCGCTATTTAGAAATTCTAAATTTGCCGGACTTGAACATTTTGACTCTACAAAAAACCACCTTACTCGGAACAGCTGACATCCTCCGACGATACCTTAACAGTTCCTAGGTCCTTGGTTAGGACTCGAGCTGCTGAGCTATTAACCAGTCTCAAAGGCTGTGAATCTCACTAAAGATTAAATAATAATAATAATAATAATAATAATAATAATAATAATAATAATAATAATAATAATTCATATGCTTGCACAAGGATACACTCTTCAGCTCTACCATCAATGTGATGATTAAGAAGCCAAATTGCTGATTTTTTTCTTATTTATTTTCTTTCATTCACTGCTAGCTTCCTTTAATATATATATATATATTAATGTCTGCTGCATGCTTCCGATTTCCAAGAGGTGGTGCCCTCAGCATTCAAAGAATTTGCCTTTTGAGCTGCATTTCCCAATCAGCAGAACAGGATAAACCCCTTGCCAAGTTTTAGTCAACAAATCCTTCTGGCATCAAGGACTAAATTGCCAAATGGACTATATAGATGTGTACCATTAGCTTGTTTTACTTATGTTAGGATACTATAATATAGTGCAAATATGGGAGAAAAATATTTTGGTCAGCATTCATGTGCAGTGACCACAGTCCAATAGACCCTTGTCCAGTGGTGAAATCCATTTTTTTTACTACTGGTTCTGTGGGCGTGGCTTGGTGGGTGTGGTGTGGCTTGGTGGGTGTGGCTTGGTGAGCGTGGCAGGGGAAGGTTACTGCAAAATCTCCATTCCCTCCTCACTCTGGGGCCAGCCAGAGGTGGTATTTGCCAGTTCTCTGAACTGCTCAAAATTTCCGCTACCGGTTCTCCAGAACCTGTCAGAACCTGCTAGATTTCACCCCTGCCTTTGTCATACATACGAAGAATGGTTGCAGGAATTGGGTATGGATAATCTAATGAAAAGAAGGACTAGGGGTGACATGATAGCAGTCTTCCAATATGTAAGAGGCTGCCCCAAAGAAGAGGGGGTCAACCAGTGGTGAAATGCAGATGGTTCTATCCAACTTGGGCAAACCGGTAGTGCCGGCGGTGGGAGACTCTGCTACCCACCCGGATGTCATCACGTCCCGTTTTTGATGCTCTGCGCAGCGCAGAAGGTCCTGTGCATGCACAGAGGTGTCGTGAGTGAGCAAAGCAAGCGCAATCGCGCTCCCATTTGCGAACTGGTAGTGAAGGTAAGAGGATTTCACAGATACCTTACTGATTTCACTTTTTTTTTGCCTCTCTCTCTCTACTTTGCAGTGCAGCTCTCAGCTCAAAATCTACACACAAAGGAACATGTATTCTGGGAAGATATACACAGGAACCAGCACTGATTTACTGGCATAGCTTCCCAGTGTCTGATGACCCCATTTAGAAGATTGATTGATGCTAAAGTTCCCAAGGAAACACAGGAATATGACTTTGGGGTAATCACTTCCATGTGGCTATTGGTCAGTAATGTTTGGTCCTAAGACATAGCTGGAAGCGCTCCCATTTGCTATCCATTGTCCGGTCTGTACACCATCAATCTCTTATTTTCTTACCATCCCAAAGCAAAACTGAGTTCAACACATCTTCCCCTAGGTCCTCTGAGTCATAAAGGAGAGACTTCCTCAGAGCATGGAATCTGTCCTTGAAACGTTACCATGGTAGAAACTCTCCAGAAGAATCATAATGGGCTTTAAAGAACAGGAGTGTTTTAAATTACACCATCAGCTGCTTTTATGAGGTAAGAAATTATGACACCAGGGAACCAGCTAAAGTACATTTCCCAGGCAGATTCCCCCCGCCCCTAAAGTGTCTGCTTCAAGAGCCATGTGGTTCTGTTTAGATAAGCTCCATATCAACTACACAAGGATCAATAAACATTCTGGATGGTTGAAGATACACAATACAAGAGGCCTAATGAACTCAATGTTCACAATGTTGTACAGAAAAAACAGGAGTCTCAACCCCAAGATTTTGTGTCAGATGATGTCTTGCCTTTGATCTTTCTCATCTGTAACCGAACCACTTTGGTCTCTAGTGGTGAAAACACCAGCCTAGAAACCAGGAGATTGGGAGTTCTAGTCCTGCCTGAGGTATGACAACCAATTGCCAGGAAATGGGGAGTCCTTAGACATGGAAGCCATTTAGATGACCTTGGGCCAGTCCCGCTTTCTCAATCCAACCCAACTCACAGTGTTGTTTTTTGTAGGGAAAATAGGAGGAGGAAGGAGTATTAGATGACGTTCACCGCCTTGACCTTTTATAAAAATAATAAATGTGTAATATAAATAAATGCATAGATGGGATTGCTGGGGATTCATCCTTCACTCATTCCACAAGGAAGAAGATCGCCAACCATCGATTACAGGCCCATTCTGTCCACGTCCATGAAGACTCTTCTTCACCTTGACTTGTTTTCCACATTTATCCATGGAATACTCCTGGCAGCTCAGAACGATCTTCAGAGCAAACACCAATGGAGAAATTTGGAGACTAGTTTTCTGAGAAGGGCCATTGTGCAAACATCCTGAAAGAAACACATAAACCTGTTCCTCCACTTTTCCCCTTTTCCCCCCTGGAGGTTATGGTGCTGAACGGACAGCTCATCTTTGCATGCACTTGTGATATCTTCATGTCTCAAATAGGGCCCAAGGCAAGGTGATTCTCCATGCTTCTCAATGAATGTTTTCAACAGCACTTAAATCATGAAGTATTAGGTTTACCAGAAGGTTGCAGAGCTTAGCGTGTGTTTTTCTTTCTGTTCATGCCCAGGGCCCAATTTTAAAATGGGAAAATTCACCTTCGTCCTGATGACAGGGATGGTCTCCTATAGATCAGGGTATCTCAAGCTTGGCAAACTTGAAGATGTGTGGATTTCAACTCCCAGAATTCCCTCAGCCAGTAACTTTGAGCTACACCTTTTCAAGTTCTGAGGATAAGAGATACGGATATAATCAAACCGACTTTCAGTTTCTGTACATAGTGACTGCAATGAGGTTATTGTATGCACAAAGATGGAAGGGTTTCACACCACCCACCCAATGAAAGAAAGGTGCATGAAGATGATGGAACTTGTTGAGATAAACTTCTTTGATCAGAGAAAAGACGATGTTTATTTTTAACTGGAACACCTTATGGACTTTGAAACAGAAAAAAAATGTTTAATGATTAGACAGGATAGTTTATAGAGAGAAGAGAGTTATATTGTAACCATAGAATAAAAGAGAAATTGAAGTTGGTTATGAACACATCATGTGTACATTTTAATTCTATGTTCTAACCTGGAATTTCTGTTTCCTGAGCATTTTCCTTGCTTGCAAAAAACTTCTTCTTTTTTACTTCATTATTTTTACTGCATTAGAATTTCCTCACAATATCCATGATTTTGGTATTGGTAGGTGAGCTCTGATCTCTCTCTCTCTCTCTCTCTCCCTCCCTCCCTCCCTCCCTCCCTCCCTCTCCCTCTTTCTCTCTGTCATTCTACAGTGTGAGGAGTCCTTGGTGCTCTCTGAGCTTGGCTCTTTTCTTGCAGATGTTTCATTATCTGCAAGTTCAGAGCTGATGATGTTACTGAGTTTGGGTAATGAAACATCTGCAAAAAACAACATAGCTCAGAGAGCATCTAGGACCCCACAATCTTCTTCTTCTTCCTCTTCTTCTTCTTCTTCCTCTTCCTCTTCCTCTTCCTCTTCCTCTTCCTCTTCCTCTTCCTCTTCTTCTTCTTCTTCTTCTTCCTCTTCCTCCTCCTCCTCCTCCTCCTCCTCCTCCTCCTCCTCCTCCTCCTCCCTCCTCCTCCCCTCCTCCTCTTCTCTTCTTCTTCTTCTTCCTTCTTCTTCTTCTTCTTCTTCTTCTTCTTCTTCTTCTTCTTCTTCCCTTCTAACATTGATAATATTCCCTAATTTGGGTCATGAAATGTCTGCAAGAAAACAGCTTGGAGATCACCAGGGACTCCTCACTTCAACCCTGAGCTACAAATATTCTCCTTGACTGGTGCTCTGCAGTGTCTCTGGCTTTTTGGTCTCCTACGTTAACAATGGTCACCTCTTATGGTGTCTTCACTTTATGGTGTCCTTACTTGGCCTTGACATGGAGGTGGGAGATCAAAGAGATTACAGATTGCTGGAGAGATTATTGCATAGTGAAGGACAGACAGACACAAAAACCCTTTCAGAGTTCATAGCGCAACTACTGAATTTGTCTTTGGGGGAAAAAATATCACAGGGCTTTCTTTTTCCATTTCATTGAATGAAAAAAAATATTTTAAAATAAACAGAATAGATTTTCTGTTCCTGGATGTTCCTCTTACAAGTACATATCGTCTTTGCTAAGATTGGAAGGGGGAAAAAATATCATAGATATTTATTTCTCAGGAAGGATTTTTGAAGATGATTGCTACTGGGTTCCATGCCTTCCGAGGAATCATATCAGCTTCTGCCAGACCACCCTGAGTAAAAATACTATTGGAATAGGGGAACGTCCCCCACTCCAACTTTACACCCTTTCAATAGCAGTGAATCAAACATTATCTGGACTCAGTGGAAAAGTACTGTGCTGTTCACCTCTCTTAATGTCATTCAGAATATGAAGCCTTGCACGATTGGTGTTCATTTCTAAAATTGGCACGGCTCTCCTGGAAAGAAAGCGATGTCTGTGGCTGAGCTCACACATGCATAAGCAAATATTTCATTAAAAAAGCAAACTAAACCAAATTTAGCTCTTGCCGTCCCCAGGCGAGCCACGGTATGCCATACAGCTGTGAAACAATGCTTTAGTTAAATAGTAGTTGGTACTATGGAAGAAGGAGGAGGAGGAGGATTAGGGGAAGGGGAAGGGGAAGGGGAAGGGGAAGGGGAAAGGGGAGGAGGAGGTGGTGGAGGAGGAGGAAGAGAAGGAGAAGGAGAAGGAGAAGAAAAGGGAGGAGAAGGAGAAGAAGAGAGAGAAAAGGAGAAGGGGAAGGGAAGGGAAAAGGGAAGGGAGGGGAAGGAAAGAAAATTAGGAGAATGTTCTAAGTTCTAAGCATAACCTGCCAAATCAGGCTTCATGAATCCTTCCCAACTCTTTTTACTAGCCATTGGCACACCTAGATTTTCTTCTAGGAAATGAAGTAGCATCTTGGGCTTCTGTGTCTTTCTGTTCTCTCTTCAAGTAGCACCCAGGTGTGTTTGTGTGCAGTGGAGACTAAAATATATGATGAACGATTACAGGAACTTGGTATGGCTGGTCTAGTGAAGAGAAGGACCAGGGGAGACATGATAGCAGTCTTCCAATATTTAAAGAGCTGCCACAGGTCAAGCTATTTTTCAAGGCACCTGAAGGCCAGACAAAGAACAATGGATGGAAATTGATCAATAAGAGATTCAACATAGAAATAAGGATAATTTTTTCTGACAGTGAGAACAATCAATCAATGGAACAGATTGCCTTCAGAAGTTGTGGGAGCTTCATCACTGGAAGCTTTGAAGAAGAAATTGGACTGCCACCTCTCAGAAATGGTGTAGGGTTTCCTGCTTGAGCAGTGGGTTGGACTAGATAACCTATAAGGTCCCTTCCAACTCTATTAATCTGGGAAGCATAGAGTAGGCTGCCTACATTCCACTTTGGGTCATGGAACTAGAAGGAAGAAGAGCTTAGAATGGAAACATCAGAAACCTTCTGAGCCACAGCCCAATGGCCTCTCCAGAGGGATGCAGGAGGGAACTTTTTTCTAGACTGCTCTTCTCTACCCCCTCTGGTCAAATCTGGCTTATTTTTTAGCTCCATCCTTCTTTTGTCAACTTCTCCTCCTATCTTCTTCCTAAGTGAAAAGGCTTCTTGGATGAGAAGCAAAACTTCTTCAAGGAAAAAACACCTTTGGGTCAACCATGGCCTGGATGACTCTCCATAGACTTTCCTTTCTATTCTATTTTCACACAGTTTGTGTGGTCTGGGAAGAGAGGGCTGGGGCCCTTTATCATTCCCCCCCCCCCCCCAAATTTGCAAGGTTGTGCAGAACCTGTGATTGTCTGCAGATCAAAGCTAATCTGTGCTGTGATCCCGTTGCGGAAAGGAATGCATTCCAGAGCTCTGGCAGACAGTAATTAACATGTTCTTGGAGAACCACCAATCTGAACATCTGCCTGATCTTTCTAAGCAGCTGTGATCCAGGGAGAGGTCCCAAGGGAGGTGCAGTTGGGTTATATCCGCACCACCAGGCAATATCCAGGCTCAGTTTTATTCTTGACGCACACTCTGGTGAAATCTTTGATTGACATTGTCAAATCAAAGGAAACCTATTGCTTAATTTCTGTGCAGAAACGAGCAGATTGGACATCCTGTATCACAAACAGTGATAGGACAGCTTCTTCTCTCTCTTTTTTTGTTCTAGTGGAAGAATGGAATGAAATGCACTGGACTGGACTAAACTAGACTAGACTAGACTAGACTAGACTAGACATTTTATGATGGTGTCACTGTGATCTAATTGGTATGCCATCAAAAAAAGACACAGTTATTATGGAATTCAGTCCTTTGGCCTTTCATTTTTGGTTTCGATAGAAGAGAAAAAAAGGAACCAAAGGTAGAATGATAACCTGGTTCTTCTACAGAATCTTCTCACTAGCCTTTAGTCAAGCTGACCGTCAACTGAAATATTCCATTTTCCCATCCCCAACCCTCTGTTGCCTAACCAAAGTGATGAGTTAGGATGTTCCT